CCAGAAGGAATAAGACCGGGAGGTGTGTGGATAGGAGCCACTTTTCAGCAAGTGAGCCGTCCCAGACTCCTTCATAGGCAAACGCAAGCGCGCTGTATTTGGGAAATCAAGCGCACACAGGGCGGTGGCTGGACCGTATTCCGCTCCACACTGAGTGCATGGAACCGCTCTTTGCGTCTAACACAGCCACAAGGACCGTGCACCCCGTACCCTCCGGCAACAACGAACTGTCTCCTGGAGCCAGTATGAACGAGCTAGTGGGTAATAGATAGGTAGACACCTTGTCAACATGCACATCAAGCGCATCCACACCGGGGATATCAAACAACAGCCATTCACTTAAAACGACAAAATGAAATATAATAAATCTAATAATGCCTACTGATCCGGTGGCATAACTCCTCTAAATTAGCTACGCTTACTCGTTCTGCGCAAACCCGTGAAACCCGTGAAAGTTGGTTAGCAACGAATCCGCGATAAGTCAAAAATGTCCACAAATTACTTAAAAATGCTACAAACAAAACAAAATTACCGAAGATAAGCGCAATTAGCGTAGGCAACGTGGTCAGTTAATAGAACATTACTCAGGTAAGCAGAACAAACCAAATAAAGTGTAATGAAATTTCTCCAGCTTAAAAAGACCTAGTTTAAGTGTAAGTTGGTTTAGCCCAGTTGCGGTGAAGAAGCGTCATGAATACAACCTCAGCCTCAGCATGGGGCACTTATGTAACATACTTATGTAACACACACAACAACAAATCCACAGTGACCATAAGGATTTAAGTTAGCGTTTTGTTGCACTCCATTCATTACTTCGTGTGCATTTTCCTTGCATTTCACTTTGGATTGCTCATGTCTGTTGCATCTCTTTTCACCTTTCTCACTGATACTTCTTCTGTACTTGAGCAATTCTTCAAAAATTGATGGTCCAAGGCTTAACGACTCTGACACTTACAGTCGTAAAAGCACATCCCTTAACTGAACAGGATAAAACCTTCGTGCCGATAAGGTAGAACGCACCATACGTCTGAGAATGGTAAGTGGATAACAGTCGACTGCGATTGACAGAGTACGAAACTTACTTCAGGCCAGAATAATATTCAATTGGGACAAATTCTTTTATCTCATTACTATACTATCAATGTTTGTGCATTTGCGTCAACAATCCTTTACAACCCTAGATCAGTTTTGAGATCGAACAGTTAGCATAACTGCATCGTTTCTTGGAACTCACTCAGCTGCTCACTCCCAATGCCAAGACCAAAATTCGATCACATTTTGACCATCGCCGATTTGCATTTACATATTTGCACATGCCTTGTTGGCGTTCCTCACGCAACACCGAAAATATACATTTATTTTTACTTGTTAATATTATGTGCGCTTTAAATAAAGAATGTTTTGCGCCTACTGCCTATTTATCTCTGCCAGGTGTTGTTGAAGCTGTTAACTACAAACAAAGTGACTGCCATTTGGTACGGCCAGGAACCCTGGAATGCTCTCATTTCCCGTGGGCAGTAATTCTAAGTCGATTATGCAGTTACCTTAGTTTGCAACAACGCAGTTAGTATGCATTGTTATTTTCCATATGCTCACGTCCTAGAGGTATGCTGCCTAACTGACTGCTTGCAAGAATGGCTATTCAAAGAAAGTCGGTTGTTTTCACCTGTGAAATTACCAGGGGAAATTTCCCTGTCTGTGGAACAGAAGTCCATGGATGTTATGCGCGTTTCACAATGCACGGCTGCGCAGAAGCAAGCCCTTAGTTAAAGTGTTGAATAACGATAGCGATCGTGTAAACGCTATGGGCCTTTCTAACTTCCATAAGCAGTTCCGAGCTCTGAAGTATCTTGCAGCGTATCATCATTATACACGTCAGCTAGAGGTGGAAAAACACCTCCGCTATTGTGCCGCAATACATGAAGGAAAGTACATG